ACGAGAAGCGCCGTATTATATGCAGCTGTTTAAAATATTTTAATTGCCGTATTAAAATTCCAATTATCGCCAGGAGCATGAGTATTGACCTAAACGGTTTTCCGATAATGATAATAACAACGGTAACCCTGTAATGACGTTTCACATAGATATATATATATATATATATATATATATATATATATTCCTTCTATATTCAAAATCGCAGTGTATATATACAGGGTGTTCCGAAACTATCTGACCCGGTGGGTATGGCGGTGTTCGGGAGGCTTCACTGATCACGAAAATGACCTTCTTTTTGTCCGGAAGGTCATAGTTTTTAAATGGGAGCAGGTCAAAGTTGACCAATCAGAGGGAGGCGTCAAGAGAAACGTAGGCACCTGCGAACTCTGAGTTTTCTTCCCTCGCTTTTGTTTCTCGGTGGCTTCGGGCAGGATGACGTCAGCCGAAGACATGCCTATTGGAAACAAGAAACAAGAAACAAGCCACCGAGGAACAAAAGCCAGGGAAGAAAACTCAGAGTTCGTAGGTGCCTACGTTTCTCTTGACGCCTCGTTCTGATTGGTCAACTTTGACCTGCTCCCATTTAAAAACTAAGAGCTTCCGGACAAAAGGAAGGTCATTTTCGTGATCAGGGAGGCCTCCCGAACACCGCCATACCCACCGGGTCAGGTAGTTTCGGAACACCCTGTAGTTACGAAGGTTTTCATCGACTTAAGTCGCTCTCTTTTTTATTTACTGAATTTTTTTTCCTTCCGACCCGTTCCGTCGTTTCTATGGGGGTGGCGGCGTCCGTCGCTTCATAGAATAATATATCGCCGGCAATAACGCGTGCGTATAACAATAAATATATTTTCCATGATATTTACGGCTGGTCGGCCTCGTATCGGTAGTGGGTCGGAATCGTAACGAGGTCTAGCCGAAAGAAGGATCCTTCAAGAATGGAGACTGCTGGCCCATTAAGAGCCTTATTAATATTATAATTCCGTTTTAATACGCGTAAATCTAGAATCGGGACAAGGCCACCTTGAAGACCGTTTTATGGGATTCTGTTCACAGAAAAAATTTCGTGAACCGACGTATCGACGATTACAGGCACAAAACGTGCGAACGGAAGCAAAAAAAGATTTTGAAAAATTTGGAAAAAAAAAATTTTCTAAACCACAAAAGTCCCAACTGACAGTGAATACAATTTTCTCGTGCCTTCAGAGTCGCCAGCAAGACCTGTCGGGATGACGTCCTAAAGACGTCATCGGATCAAGTGACGTCCCGAAGACGTCTTTAAGACGTCCTATCGCCAACAGGATACCTGCATTATTTTTATTCACCCGTATGGATCTGTACAATCGATATTTCATAATCGAAAAAAAAAAGTTGTCTGTCGAATAAAATTCCAATCTCGTCTCAGGAATGCATGTACAAAGTCAATATATACAAACGACCTCTAATTATTATCGTGGAAGGTGCGAAGGGCTGATATATTGAAGTCGAAGAACTACTGAATCAAATCTACCAATCATGCTTCAAAATAATGACCACACCTAGCGCTACAGGTCAATGGTGTATGGTTAATAGATGCCTTAACACGGGTACCAACACTATTGCTTTGGGTACCCACTACTATAAATTCCTGCAGAAAGGGTCGATAGCCATCCGCAGTGCCATTCAGATGAAGTCGGTGGACAGACTATATACAGAGTGAGAGAGAGTTATAGAGAAAGAGGTGGTGGGAGTGGGTGAGAAAAAAAATAAAAAAATTTCAAATAAAGGTACAGGTATACATACGCATCGTATACAGGTACGGGTGGCTGATGGCGATGGTATGACGTGGTAAATTATTTATTCACTGCCGACTGTGAATAATGGACCTTCCTTCAGCAAGGAGGTATCAAAAAACGTTATTGATCACCGAAATATCAAAAGTGGGCGTATCCATCACCCACTGAACTGGCTATCTATACATAATATATATATATATATATATATATATATATATAATACAAAATACTGGTTAGTAGGTAGACGAAGCCTACGGGCCAATGCCAAGATACATCGATACCCATAGGGATTTTTCGAACGGTACAACAATTAAGACGATTTTTCACGGGATCGTGTATAGATCGCCATAAGGATAGTAACCAAGCACGACGTATCCCCAGAGTCGATGAAGTCGAATTGGATTTAAAAAAAAAATTTGGCTTAAAATTTGTATCTAAAAATCGTATCCACAGGTGAGCCAGGTGAACGATCATCCCACAAAGTGACGTAACGCTTGGTAAATACAATTGAAAATAACATGGACGATATCAGATAATAAAGATTCAGCGACAACGTGACGAGCCTCGTGGCATTTATGAAACAAGCGCTATTGTTAAGGGTTGTTACGAATCGACGATCCGCGAACACTTGTCAACGACAATTTACCCGGAGGATCTCGACATGAACGGGATTCACTAGTGAACAATGGGAGCAGCGTATTTAAGGGGTAGGTGGGTACTCGAGCGAACCTAACCTAACTAGAGCACCCATGGTCGACGCAGCAGGGAAACTTAATCGAGGGAAAAAAAACGTGTCCGGCGTACTACCGATGTACGTTGATATTTTGACGTAATTCGATAAATCGATATGAGAAAAAAATCGATTAGGCGTATATCGAAAATTAATTAAAAAAAAAAAATCGATAAAATCAAAGTCGAATTCGAGGGGGGAGAGAGAGAGAGAAAAGTGAGGTTATGCACGGCGAAATATGGGTAAGACGGAACGTGGGCGCATAACGATCGTACATGACAAATCTATGGCGATTAATCTCGCCACTTTCGAATAGCCAACCTAAACCTTCTGGAAGGAACCGATTACGGGTACAGACTCTGTGATGGACCAGGTGGTCAGCCGTAAAAATCTGGCCGTGTCTTTGGCCTACGAAAAATCCCCCTACAGGATTGACCCCCAGCTGGGAATTCTCTTGGTTTCTTATTTTTGTTCACACACCCCCTACTGGGTTACCTCTTCATCTTAGGCAGGATACCCACGTTTCGGTACGGTTCCGAGCCGCTAACTCCGGTGATAATTACATGATTGATACGCGTAAATATCTCCTTCTCGATTATGTAAATACAAATAGGTTGGCATTGCTGTACGAAACATATGGAGGATAAGCACGGGCTGTCTATAGAATACTACCAGGTGTATATGTATATATATGTATATATACAGCTTGTACTATAATCTACTAAGGAATAGGAAGATAAAATACAGTGTGTACATGTATATACATATTTATAAATTTCTTGATGTAAAAAATCGTCACCGGTTACGATTTACAATGAAATTATTTTTGGAGTCAGGTGGTGTCCTTAAGTGAATGTCCTAAAGACGTCCTCGGGAGGAGGAGGCCATTCGATTGGGCTTAAGGGTCGCCGTGGAATTCACATGAAAGTGCGACTGGACGAGCTGGACAAGTCACGAGAGGAAGATTCATGGTCGACATTTCGTGCTGGTGCACATGCAGCGATTTCGCATGGACTTCGCCAGTACGAGTCGGACCTGAGGATGATCTATGCTCCAGTGGGTCATAAAGCACTGGTCATCCTTGTTCCTGATGCTGAACGGGTCCTGAAGCAATTGAGGTTGGATCATCAGACAAGGACGTGCCTTGATCAATAGAGACCTAACCTATAACCCAGTGACGTAGTTAACTTAGTAGAGGCTATGCGAACAAGGACTTGAGGATGATCTATGCTCCAGTGGGTCGTAAAGTACTGGTTATCCGTGTTCCCGATGCTGAACGGGTCCTGAAGAGATTGAGGTTGTATCACCAGACAAGGACTTATAAAAGTACCTAGATCAATAGAGACCTAACGTATAACCTAGTGACGTAGTTAAATTAGTAGAGGCTATGCGAACGAGTGTCTGCTGGGTCTGCGGTTGGTCGTTATAACCTAGTGACGTGGTTAACTTTGTAGAGGCTATGCGAATGAGGACCTGAGGATGATCTATGCTCTAGTGGGTCGTAAAGCACTGGTCATCCTTATTCCCGATGCTGAACGGGTCCTGAAGAAATTGAGGTTGGATCATCAGACAAGAACGTATAAAAGTGCCTAGATCAATAGAGACCTAACCTATAACCTAGTGACGTAGTTAACTTAGCAGAGGCTATGCGAAGGAGCGTCTGCTGGGTCTGCGGTTGGTCGTTCCTTAGTAATAATCCGCGTAGCTGCCGAAGGTGGATGGACTGACGTACAGGGCTATTTTGAGTCAAAGGAGCCAAAGGCTTCAGATTCTTATTTTCCCATAAATAACTTTAATGACGCGCCGCGGCAGTTCAGGTTTTAGGTATAGAAGCCGTGTCTGTAGCTGTAGGCAGCCTTGTATTATTTATTGTATATCTGTAGCCATATACATATGTGTATAGGACGTGTATGCCTGGGTATACCTACGTGCACTGGGTTACAACGTGATGAATATACTTCAGGATTCTTTCCCATTCCCATCCAGGCGCGCGCCTGGTCACCCCTTTTTTTTCACGAGGACCAACCTAACCCAAGGATCCGTTCAGGTCACGTGGTAGGGAGAATTCACGTAGGATTTGATATTCCTTCGATCTAATCCTGACACCCCCCAGGTGCATCTGGGGAGCCAAAGTTAGGCCTAAGTAGAACAAAAGTTTGGTAACATCCTATCGAGGAGTATCAGTTCTCTACGTTCCACGCCTTTCACTGATACCAATGAAGACGGCATGGTCCAACCAGCGATCTGTTATCTATTGTCCAATTCCGCGCTGGGCTAGGCCTGAACCGGCGTTGGTAAATTATAGCCGGGGTCCTAAACGCGTGCGCCCGAAGAAGGCCGAGGATCCGTTCGGCAATGCTCGTCGATTGGCGGAAGGTGGATTCGGACGTCGTAGGGGTCGGTACTGATATTACCAATCAGAGAGAAACGTCAGTGGCGACGCCGAGCGTCCGCTCCGCCCATTCCTCAGATGAGCTCCGCCTTCCGTCGAGTACACTTCTACTTGTGACTTTGGTTCTTGCTCCTCGTGATCTCATACTTCGAACTCGCGCAGAGCTTCGAATTTATCCAGATTTATACTGGCTGTTATCGTTATCACCGGATGTCGTGCGGTAAAAGGAAAATAATATTTTGTGCCGGAATCGGTTCGCTGACGTTCTACTACATGGTTATACCGTATTGCTGATCAGGAATACGTGGTGCTGGTTATTGGACATACATTTAGGATCCGCAATCTCGGTATAGTGAACGCGTCATGAAGGTAAGGAAATCAGATCTATTCAAATATTAAAAGAATATAAATATTCCGGTAGGGATTTTTATCCAGGTAGCAATAATCAAGTTCTCTGGCAAGTGTTTGAAAATATTGTTTTTTTCACTCTCTTGTCAATATACCCAACAGCTGTACACACTTCGGTTGAATATACCAATAGTCGTTTGCACAGCTATATCCCGCGGACCGCCGTCTCGCGCGTTTATTAATAAAAGCCGCGAGACTTCATATCGGCGCGTATAATGGAGTCTCGTGGTGACAAAGTCCGAAGGACGGCACTTGCCTACAGATTCATTAATGCTGTCCAGACTCTGTTGCAGAGTCGACTTGCCTCGTGCTTAATGGATTTATTAAGGAAGCCCCTTGTTCTCGGGACCCGAAGGATTTAGCATTTCGGAGCGCATGAAAATGCGGCTTGATGATGTTGATGAGCGTTGGTGGACAAGTACCATCTTCTGTTAAGCCAAGGAGATAAAACCCCGCGTACACGAGCCTAGTCGTTATTGTAAGGAGATAAAACAGCGGGCAGTCAAGGTGGTAGGACTGGAAGAGATTCAGGCAGGAAGGACGAGGAGCTCGAGGCCGCGCCTATCCCGTTCATGGAATAAAAAAAAGGATTAAGCGCCGATAACTTCAATTGTCTTGTCAAACTGTCAATCATCTGTCAAATAGATCGTACTGCCGATTTGTTTTGCATAAGCCTTCACGGGTTTGACGATTCATTTTTTTTATTGGTGATATACAAATGTTTTTTATACGTTTTATAAATTTCTTTTTTTCGATGTTTACGCACTATTTGGATTTTATGTGGTTGACACACTTTTCGTTTGATCACTGTTCGATAAAGGATGGGCGAAATTGTAATCGGACCTAAATATAGAAATTTATGGGTTTATGTTGAATATTTGGGTTTTAGACTCGGCTTTAGGGTTTTTGTCGAAATTATCACTCCGCCGGTTCAATTAGGTGTGGTACTGGGTAAGGGTTGCTTGTCTCTCTTTTAAGTACGTCTTATGGGGATTTCTGAGGTAAAAAGAAAAACCATAACTCCGGATCAAGCTGATGCGCCATTTTGCGCTTTAGCACGACAATTTACTGGACCACACAGGATGGGATTTCGTTTTCAAAGGAGACTCGCAAATCACAACCCTTGCAAACTCTGGATCGCGTGGGACGCAAAGTATTTCAGATGGATCCTACTTGCGATTCTTATCGTTCTTATTCCGTTTGGCTTTTCTTTATGCGGAATTACTTGTCGCGGTAGATTCGAATATTCAAGGACAAATTAATCAGGCATCCATGAAATTGGATTGAAGTATCGGATTTTTATATGAGAATCAAGCACAATTTAACACGCGTATGAAACTGTCAAAAATTGTCGGGATCGCAAGTATTTCAGATGGATCCTACTTGCAATTCTTATCGTTCTTATTCCGTTTGGCTTTTCTTTATGCGGAATTACTTGTCGCGGTAGATTCGAATATTCAAGGACAAATTAATCAGGCATCCATGAAATTGGATTGAAGTATCGGATTTTTATATGAGAATCAAGCACAATTTAACACGCGTATGAAACTGTCAAAAATTGTCGGGATCGCAAGTATTTCAGATGGATCCTACTTGCAATTCTTATCGTTCTTATTCCGTTTGGCTTTTCTTTATGCGGAATTACTTGTCGCGGTAGATTCGAATATTCAAGGACAAATTAATCAGGCATCCATGAAATTGGATTGAAGTATCGGATTTTTATATGAGAATCAAGCACAATTTAACACGCGTATGAAACTGTCAAAAATTGTCGGGATCGCAAGTATTTCAGATGGATCCTACTTGCAATTCTTATCGTTCTTATTCCGTTTGGCTTTTCTTTATGCGGAATTACTTGTCGCGGTAGATTCGAATATTCAAGGACAAATTAATCAGGCATCCATGAAATTGGATTGAAGTATCGGATTTTTATATGAGAATCAAGCACAATTTAACACGCGTATGAAACTGTCAAAAATTGTCGGGATCGCAAGTATTTCAGATGGATCCTACTTGCAATTCTTATCGTTCTTATTCCGTTTGGCTTTTCTTTATGCGGAATTACTTGTCGCGGTAGATTCGAATATTCAAGGACAAATTAATCAGGCATCCATGAAATTGGATTGAAGTATCGGATTTTTATATGAGAATCAAGCACAATTTAACACGCGTATGAAACTGTCAAAAATTGTCGGGATCGCAAGTATTTCAGATGGATCCTACTTGCAATTCTTATCGTTCTTATTCCGTTTGGCTTTTCTTTATGCGGAATTACTTGTCGCGGTAGATTCGAATATTCAAGGACAAATTAATCAGGCATCCATGAAATTGAATTGAAGTATCGAATTTTTATATGAGAATCAAGCACAATTTAATACACGTATGAAACTGTCAAACACTGTCAGCAATATTATTTTCGTTGGTCAATTAACTTGATAGTCACTCAAGTTAAATCAGACCTGAATACTTTTTTGTGAATTACCCTGTATAACGCATATACAAAGATATTTTATTTCTATCGAGTACAACTGTTCGTATGTTTTACATGACGAAGATGAAATTATCGTCGGTGCACGAGGTCAATGTGTTTTTTTTGACAGCTCGAAATCAATCCATTCAAAACAAATCGCACGTGGCTTTAGATAAAATAAGATAAATATATGCTAAAAAAGAAATATTAAAATATATTCAGTACAAAAATATATATATATATATATAGTTTGTAACAAACATTTCATGCAACGACACATGTTCCGTGCTTAGAGACTTGACTGATTTCGAACTGTCAAAAAAAAACCATCGAACTAGTGGACCAACTATAGATATATTTTGTATACGTGGACAGATGAAAAACAATAATTTTTTTTGCGATATTTAAAAAATGATTTTCATAATTTGCAAAATTATAATTTTATCAATTTTTTATATATTCAATGTTATTTGTATATCTGGTTACCAGCTAGATCAGTTACAATCCAGTTGATAGGGATCTGAGGTAATACAAATTTGGACTCCTACTTTATGCTGAAATGAAAATTAATTTTATTTAACAATGCTTTTATAATTTTTACAATTTATCATTTTATTTGATTGATTAACAGTGTTTATTCGATTACCAATTGAATCCTTTATTAGCGATATCAATCTCTTAGCAGGAGCTGATTCACGTATTTTAATAAGTGTGCTTCCTTCACATATTATTTTTCCAATTTTGTCTGTATGTTTAATCTGCTGCAAAAAAACGTTTTGAAACTTGAAATTATCGAGATCGATATGCGAATCTTTGATTGATTATAAAAAAAATTTATTGTTGCCAATTCATGATTAATCGACGGTATAGCCAAATGATATATTTGAAGTGTTTAAAGAAAAGTCAGTATACATGAACAGAAAAAATTTTGTAAATATTTTTTTTGTATAATAACATTTCGACAATGAAAATAAGATTAAATTCATAATTTGACTAAAAATACTTATTTTTAATATTTTCAATTATATATATTTATATATATATATATATCATAGTTATGTGTATGATCATATCCCCGTCCATTACAATTAGATAATTTTGAATTCAGTGCCAGAAGATTTAGCATCTCGTGATAAGACTAGGACTATTAAAATTATTTAATCATTAATTTTACGTTGGATATATAAAAAAAACATCAGTAAATTAATTACATGAAATATGAGTCAGTAATAGCTTAGGTTATGTGCTATGCTACTAAGTATTTTCCTTTTGGTTTTATTTTTTCTTCGCCAGCATGTAGACACGAGGAGACGTAACGTGGATTGATGTAACGTAATGTAACATATGTTAATTAGCTCAAAAATCAAACTCTGCTTGCACAACTATATATTTTGTATGTAAATTTATATTTGTTTCTTTTTTAATCAGTTACTCGCGTGAATGAATCAGCGAATCGAGTAATAATAAAAAAAAAGAAAATAAAACATAAGAGCATCTCCCGAAATGGCCCAATAAGGATGTCTTTAATTTTGAGTAAAATTGACTAACTTATCGATTTAGGCCATTTTCTTTGAAATATCATGATTTTTAGTTATTTTAGTAAAAACTTTTTTTTTCATTTTTTCCATTTTTTTCCCTTGGTCCACCTACGTCAGCGCTTCCCATGAAAGATTAATAACGGGCGCGTAACTTTCGGTCGCATCTGGTCGCATCCACAACGCGCGACGGTTATCGTAATAGGGTGGATCGGTAGGGAGGGAAGGGGGGGGGGGCAGGGACAGTTTTTCAAGTAGATTCTCATAAAGGCGTTAGTCCATGAAAGCTGCGTGTTCATTTCGATGAAGACAAAAAAGAAATAAAAGAATGAGAAGAAAAAAGGGTGTAGCAAGGAGAAGAAAAAGAAAGAAGAATATCCACGAAGAAACGGCGGATAGGAGAAAGGAAAATACAAGCAAAGGAAAGATAAGACGTCGCTACAACGCACTCTCCAAATATTTGCCGAGTATTTTAAAAAGTGGCGACAGCGATCGTATAGCACACTTTGATAAATATAGATAAAATCTCATTCATACAACATTACTTGAATATGAATCGTCTTCGCGTGACCTTGAAAACCGGAACCGTCCTATCTATATAGATAACACAAGTGCGAAAACACATTTTTTCCACGTGTTTCCTATTACCTAATTTCATAAAATTGCAAAAAGATTGCGTAAGAAAAAGTCGATAACTGCTTCAAATCCGAAAAAAAAGGAACCAAGTAAAAAAAAAGGGCTATAAGAATATAAGCCGCAAAGTCCATCCAGAAGTCCTTTTGTCCCATTGTATGAAATGATAGGCTAGCTTCCATTGTAGCGATATACGCTCGAGCGTGTACGTAAGGGCGTGTATAAAGGTTCGATACACAATGGGCGACACTCGCAAAAGGTGACCTGCCGGCGAAAATCGGATGGCGATTTAAATGGATTTCGAGTGGCCCCCTCTGAGCAGTTCAGCCAAACCGGGACTAACCGAGTCCAAGAGAGGGACCCATTATTATATATATACCGTGGACGAGTGAGACCCAAGAGAAGGTATATACCTAGATATACGTACATTTTCAAAAAGATGCATTCTGGGTACGAAGGCGTGAAGAGGCTCGTGCCCTGTCGTTTCTTTTTGTAAAATCGGCAAAATCTTGTCGCCTAGAAAGAAAAAAAAATCTTGCCATTATTTTTCAAAGGTCCTCGAGAACATCCGTAGTGGCCACTTTGTCAAGTTCCCACCTGGACCCAGAAGGATGCGAAAGATGCCAGCGGCCATTTTTGACCCCCCGGTACCAGTTGACGTTAATGAATTTCTTTTTCGTGTTACTTATGCTTTTCTTGTCTTCTTTCTCGTTCTCTTTTGTTCCTTCTTTATTTTTTTTTTCATTTTTGCTTTTTCCGTCAAATTTTTGAACGCCCGGTGGCTGTAGCAAATTCGTGAAATATTTTATAATCAATATGCAAGCCACTCGCTCAAGCCAATCGTATTGCACGGTAGTTATTGATTGTGAAATGTAAAATTAATTTTCGACTTTTTGATCATAATTTAGAAAATTTTATTTTAACGGACTATATATTTATCTATAGACTATATAATTTATCTATAGTATACCTACGCTAATTATATATATATAATAGCGTGTAAATAAATTTTTCTTCCGTTATAGGAAACTCATTTCTGTTCCATGTACTATATACAGGTATAGTGGTCTAACCGTAGGTAACCGATGCTTTGTAAATGGTAGTTATATATACTAGGAAAAGAAGTATCGGTTTCAATGGATGGGCCTTGCTGTCACGAACGAAAAGTGACACAGGGGCCCATCGTGCAAAACCCCATAGTGGGGTCCACGGGACCCCCTGTAGCGGCTCTTTCATAGCTGAAAGTCATACCGACCTTTCATAAACCGAAACCGAAACCACTCGAAACTCAGAATGGGACAGAGGTTTTTTTTTCGAGTCAAGATTCCTCAAAAGGTCCAAAGTTCATCCAACCGGCAAATAAGCTAATAAAAAGCTTGAATTATTTTGCTTGATCTGTAAGAATCGGATATTTCAAAAATCGTTGATCCTCTGGATCACTCTAATTTATGGATCGTCATTGACTTGTATCGTGTTGGAATTTTTTTTTTTTTTTTTGGAATATTCAAAATTCATATTATTCTTTATTGTCTGTTTTACGTATTATATATTATTTTATCTTTGTTATATCACATAACCACGTAACTTCTAACACTCGGTTTTTTAAGAGTTCACCTGGGAACCTGTTATACGGATTCACGGCTCTTTGATATCCTGGCGCATATCTTAGACTAATAGCCGAAACGAGCCTAATCCTGGATTTTACGATCCCGCCTTATACACAGCGCTATATTATTGTCACCAATAACTCTGGTTCCTCGAAAGCGTGGGTGGAGTCAGGCGCTAAGGTATATTCCACCTTTACTAAATGACGCTTATTGCTCCTGCGAGAGTAGCAGAGGCGAAATCAGGCAAAGTGCATCGGACAGTTTTCGTATTTTAATTGATGGTGTTTTTTGAAATGAAATTTTTCACGATTTAGGTATTTTTTAATTACAGCATTTTTTTCTATCATACTAATCACGGCCTATTGGAAATATCAGGATTAATATGAGGTGTGGTAATCGTTCGTAGATTGGAAAGTACCACGTGGTTAGTTTTGGATATTTATTTGAAAAAAGGTTGTTCTGACTTTTTTTTAAATTTTGAGCATTTACAAATTTATTTTATATTGATTATCCAGGCTATTTGCATCTTTCTTCATTTCTATTTACCATAGAGTTAAATAAGAGAAATATCATTATGTCAAACGGGCTAAGAAATTTTTTCAAAAACATTATTCCCCTACGAAGCTTACTGTAATACGTTTTATTATACATTACAATGATATGAAATCTCCCATAGTAAAAATACCGTAAAAATAAAGCATTGACATCTGCTTTATGAAAACAAAAAAAAGCCGTTCTGTCAAAATAATAAAAGTAACCAAAAATCCTATTAAAAATGTGTAATGATACCATTTGATTTTGAAAAAAAAATATCAAGATAAAATAAAAATGGCCGATCGGTAAGAAATCCAAGTCCCGCGGTTTGTCGCCTCTAAACGTGTGAACATTTGGCTAGTTATACACGGTGGTTAACCATACGTCACGGAGGGCAGACAATGTTCGTAGACGGGAGTCACATAATAGCATTGTAATATAATACCAGTGCCTAGTACCAGCCCCATAGGTTTAGTCCCACTGTGTTAGATCTCTGCCATTTGTAGCTCTCGCGGTTACGAACAGCGTGCAAGTCCTGCAAGTCGCACGAGGGAGCCAGGGGCGTGATATTTAGGGTTCTCCGCACATCTCTACAGGTTTATTATGTACTAGAGTTGAGAATGGGCCCGTAGGTAGCCAGCCGTGAAGCCGCCGTGCCAGTACGGTTCGGTATGGGCAGCTTTGGCAGAAACCGCACAAAGGGGATGACAGGGAAAGGAGGGGTAGAAGTTTGCGCGTCGATCATTTTTCAGATTTTTTATTGGACGCACGCACGCCCCTTCGATCTGGTACATCACCTTTTTTTTCCCCCCCTGTATAAATGACTCGTACCACCTTTCGGAAGCAAGCATATTTATACGATCGCCATTGTACTCAACGCACTTGAATGATTGTTGGTGCTCTCGAAAATTGCGAATCATCCAATGAAAAAGTTGAAAAATTATTAACCCTTGTCGATTTGCATCTTTTCCTTGGTATCCTATTTATTTGCCCCTTAGGCATGTGCGACTGGATGATTTCGAGTACTTTTTTTCTACAAGTGCAATTTTTACATTGACCCTTTTTTTTAATTTCAAGTTGGGTCTTTTATTTTAAATGCGGATCGAGTCCTTGAAATTTTTTTTGGGATTATTTTGAAATATATGAAAATTGAATATTTTCAAGATATTACCCTCATTATTTCCCTATCTTGGTTCATTAAAAAACTACTGGTCTGTTATATGGGTACCTTACTTCCTTCCTTATGGCTGTTATATGGGTTAGGGACTGGTAGAATTTTGTGTAACAAGACTGCCAACAGAAAGCAGGCAAAATCTGACCGTCTGCTTGGATGCGCATTATGCGCCAATACAGAGGCGTAGCCTGCGCGCCCTTACTTAAGGGATGTTAGGGGGTTGGTCTTGTTGCCTGTACATACTAGGGGATGGCCCACACCCCCCAACGAGATATACACTGGATATGGGGATGTGTGTGTAGGGGTGGGTACGGTTCCAACTTTGAACTGTATTTGTGTGCCGCATTGAAAGGGGATGTAACACGTAAGGGATGAATTGCTGTGGTTATGTTGGCGGCACTGTCGGACACCATGGGGTTTCCTCGCACGCTTAACCAGCTGCCCCCAGGACACCTCAGATATTTTCACTCTTGCTAAGACTCGTAAACTGGCTTCCTGCTCCCACCAGATTGCATTGCATTAAGAATACACGGTGCTCGTTGAAAATCTACGAACCTTCGTACGATTTGCTGTATACCTTTTCTGTGATTACATGAATTATATAATTAACCTTAAAATTAGGCTGATTAAGTAAGTTTTGAAAATTCGATAAATTTCAAATGAATCCGACCAAGGCTGAATCTGGTCCGAAATTCAGTCCAACGCATTTATTCACGTTTAAACGAATTATAAAAATTCGAACCTCCCCTAATTCAAAAATAAAAATTATATCACATAGTAACTCAGCCGAAAGGTGAATAGTAAAAAGTACTGTACTTTCAGCGAAAGTCAGTAGGAATAGTAATAACGTTTAACAGAAGAGGCTTGATTGTCAAATTAAATTATTATACCAAGGGGTTGCCATAACTGTAGAATTTTTTAATTAAAAAAAAATAGTAAATTACATTAGGTATCTTTAAACAATTTATTTTCTCTTTTATATTATTATATATACAGTACATGTTTTAATATTCCATACCAAAGATTACACCGTGCATATTATTTCCAATTTCGTCTCAGACACTTTTTATCTATAAATTTATGAAATTTATCTCTTACCTTTCATCGACTTAGGTACTATACGAGTAGGTCATTGAAATAGTAAAAAAAAATGATTTCGTACTACTATGCCTTACTAGTGCAATCGTACAGGTAATATTTTCCTATCGAGAATAGTATTCAGTAGGACCCCGATCAACCGGGGAGACTCGAGACAGAAAATTCCACGGATAACTGAAATTCTGATTGATTCGAATTAAACGTAATTTATTTTTGTCTCCTAACACAATTTAAATGTAACGCATATACATCCTTACTTCTATTATGGGTGTGTTCCGAAATGTACTGATAAGTACTGCCAGTACTGTATCCAACGCTGTGTCATTATTCATCCATACGCATCTAAGAGAGATGTAACTACTTTTACAGTACTGTCAGTACATTTCGGAACACACCCTATATAGTAGTATGTAAAACTCTCATGCTTCTTATCTCCCCAAATAACTGCACTCCCGCTAATCGGGGGTTGTACCGTTCGACTACAAAAATCTAATAGTGAAAATTTTTTTTAATATTTAGAATTTCAATTTCTCTCAATAATTATCCTCATTGAGGCTTCCTGTCTGTATGCTACTATTTTTCAAAGTTCAAATTAACTATATTGTCGGCTGTCTTTCATAATATTGTTGATAATTTGTTGATCCCTTTCAGCGAGGGAATGCTAACAAAAAGCTCAATTTCTCATTACAGCCTTCCGAACCAAGTTTTGGATCGTTTTTAGGTAAACTTTATTTAATATGAAAAATATCTGATTATATAATTTTACATAGGTACGAAGTTGATATGATAAATATAGTTGGGAAACATGAGACGTAATTCAGATTGTGGAGCGCATCAAATCGATAATTAATATTACCAATGGGGGTGCCAGATGAAACACATACTTTATGGAAGCTGTATTTGAATTTTAATGAACAAGGATAAAAGAGTCTAAAGAGAAAATTGATCCCAACTTCCCTTTTGAAACAAAGTGGACGTACCACCTCAGCTATGGACTCTGACTGTGGGACTCATTGATTTAGATATTTTTAATATTAAATAAAGTTTACCCGTAGATGATCCAAAACCTGGATCGAGACGCTTTAATAAGAATTCGAATTTCCCTTCAACATTTATTGGCTGAAAATGGGTTAACAGACTCACGAACAATATTTTTCAAAGTATTGCAGATCATCCATCTTTTCCGGTGCAGCCTTCATTTTGAAAATTGGTACGAGGGTATCAACCTCAACAGACCCCAGACAATTTTCATATCAATCATATACACGACTCTACGTCCCATCTTTACTCGCAGCATCCCATAGTGAATTCATCCCTTCCGCTAATCGCTCTTCCAATATTCATCTCTATTTCCGTCTACGCTGCCCTACAGTTCTATACAACAACCGACGGGAGCTCCGTTCCGCAGCATTAACCAACTCGAGGACCCATTCTAACCTACACAACGTATATAACCAACCGGTATCACCCAGTTCTCCGTCTTGTTCCAGACCGAAGTGGAGGACATGGGGTCAGAGAGTATATGCGAGACCGTCGGACAAACAACAACCCTTGGCGCAACCCCGGGGGTGGATTCGAAACTAGCAGCCGGTGTAATGGAGTGCGGCGGTTGCGGGGAACGTGTTCGCGAGAGGACAGTCCTCTGCGTGGGTGGCAGAACATGGCACTCACGATGCCTGCGCTGCTGCGCATGCGCGAGGCCACTTCACGATCAACACTCCTGTTTCCTACGCGGAATGCGACTTTACTGCAGACACGACTACGCTCTGTGAGTTATTTTCATGGAACCTTTACGTACCAGTAAGACACGGATACCTCGTGGATGTCAACGGTACAGTTACATGAGTTTTTAATGCGGCAGTCGGAGAAGCTAGGCGGTTGCGCCGTCGGATCGCCGAAAATAACAAAGCGGTCTCCATGACAACGGAGCCTAGGCGTGGATCGGTCTTCGTATACGGGAACAATGATTCTCCTGTTGAAAATCCAAGGGTTACCTTCTTGGATCTACGCTCAGCCCCAGCCACGAGTATCATAACAGATTCGAGACTTTGGATGACCTCGCGTTACGACCTCGACACCTGGTTCGTGACCACGCACTAATTCCTCGAGGAAGACCTCGATTACCGTCGGACGACCCAGGACGACTGAGTCTCTTTCGTTCTCTCTACCAGTCTCTTGGGGATCGCTGCGTCGAGCGTCGGGATCTTACTTGGTTCCCATGTTTCGGGTCTCGTGTGTACTCGCTATGGGTCCCGTACGTACGCTGTTCCTCGGGAGTGACTCGTGAATTGTCCAGGAGGTCCGTAGAGACTGGCTAACGTGTTTATCCAACTGTCAATCAGGTACCCATGCCTGGACGGATCTCCGTACGTGTAATGGACTCGTGGAGCACGTATCTATATGGTCACATGTACACGAACCCATACGTGTCGTATATCATAATATCCGATCACAATAGTATCATTGCTAGGGTTATCTGACGTGGATATCTGACTGGCGCCTTCGGCAATCTGTCCTGTACTCGTACGATTGTACAGTCGTGGGTCGTATTGTCGTAATCGAGGTAAAATCGAAACGGTCACGGAATTCGTTGAGACTCGGCTTTGGTATTTATGATGGAAATTTTTTTGGAATTCTCAAAAAAAATATTTCAATATACTCGCTTACACCGATGCGATATAAGGTGACGATGATTTGAATTTACGGGCTGCGAAATATAACGAAATTTTATTTCGAATACTTTACCTATGGCGAAGATCTTTAACTGAGATAGTGATTTTTAGAATGATCTTAAAAATGTTTTTTTTTTTAGTACCCGTCGATCTGTATAGGGAATTAGGCTGTACAATAATGGCGAGTCCTTTTCCTTGCTTCATTCTTGGAAGCTGTGTCATCCCGTCCGTGAGAGAGAAAACTCGACCCTTTCGGTTGACTCCTCGACCAGAGAAATAAGAATGGACACGCGGGGAGGTCCGTAGGAATTTGCCGCGTAATTTTTATGGTCACTTTATATCGCTTCGTAATGAATTCTTGGGGTGAATACAAAATATGCTTTTAAATTTAAGAAAAAAAAAAAGTAAATAAAAATTCGTAATAAATCGATAACAATTACAAGAAAAAAAAAATCGTGAGTCTCCACCGTATTTATTAAGTAACTTGCAGTAAGCACGGCAGAGCCCGATTGTAATGCTCTAAGTAAGATCTAAGAAAAAAACATCTAGAGCCCCGGACGACTCACTCAAAATTCAAATCCCCATAAGATTCCCGCGCTCCGAGCCGTCTAGTCTTTCCGTGGGCGCGTCATCAAAAGAATCACGGTATTATGGTCCCAAGAGAAACAATAGGATTATCCGAGCGTAGCGTAACTTCCCATCCAATCAGGAACGGACCAGACAAGGAGATGTAGCGACGTAACGGGTTCGACGAAGCCGACGCGGAATCGAGAAGCAAAAAGACAAGAGAGGATGGGATCTCTAGGATTCTCGTTTGGAATGTAACGCAGCCCACCGGGATAGTCGCGTGGCGACGTTATAAGGCCAGATTGACCGCGTTAAATATTCCGCATGGTCGTCGCGTTTAAGATGCGAAGGCGGAGGACGACGTAGAGTCCTGGGCCTGGGTCTCTCCCCATGGAATCGGGATGCACTTTCCGTGTTCATGAATATGATAATGGGCTAATGGCCGCTAGTCGTTGTTTAATTACCGACTGCACCGGCCACCGGGTTATCCCGGGACAGGATACGATCCTTCTGGCCTGATCCTGCATAAACCGCGACCAACCCATTCATCTGAAAGTGCGTGCGTGTGTCTTGTACCCCGTTGCAGAACATGGCTACCGTTTACACGGGCGTAGGTCTTACACCCAGTGAAAAAAGTATTAGCGCCTACTATGTGTATATCCTTGAAAAGGAATAATTCCTTGAGATTTCTTTAAGCAAACTAAGAAATATCGTTCACGCGCCGCTTCGGCGAACCTTCCATTAACGTCCTAACGGGCAGAGGTTTATTTGATCAGCCTGCAAGTTCTCGTTCGGGATACATTTGCCAAGAATGACTCCTGGCGGCGGAATAGAGAAATAAATGATCGCGAAACACGCGCCAATGCTGACTACGGTAGTATACTACATTCGATACTCGCATGAACGCGACACGCACTAAAAATACGGGTGTATCAGTTACCCACACTGCTATCGCTATACATTGACCTTCTTGGTTATTTATTATGTCTCCGATTTCCAATTCGAACCTTTCTCGTCCCGACTGCCGCTACACTTGCGTGATACCTGCGCAGTGAGCGTCTGCGCACTACCCGCGGTAACCGTTACAAATTTGAATTTCGTTATTGGACTCGCGTCAACGTCTCGCGCAGGGAAGCTGGTTAAGTACGAATAGATCTTCCGTTCTGCGATAAACCTTTGCGATATTAAAACAGCTTGTTGGGAATCGTACGATTTATATGATTTATGGTAAAGAAATTGAATGGGTATCCAGTATGTGTATTTATTCGCAGAGCGTTCGGTGCCAAATGTGCAAAGTGCGGAAGGAGCGTCGGTCCCGGTGACTGGGTGCGTCGGGCCCGAGAGAGAGTCTATCATTTGGCGTGCTTCGCCTGCGACGCCTGTTCGCGTCAATTGTCAACCGGCGAGGAATTCGCACTTCTGGACGCCAGATTATTATGCAAGGCACATTACCTTGACGTGGTGGAGGGTAACAATACTTCGTCAGACGGTGAGGTGGTTTGCTGACAATGATACGGGGCATTGGCAATCCGATTGGTAGGGGGAATGATCTAATTGGGCTTATCGTAGAAGGCGGTGACTCCGAGAGCGGGCACAAGGGTGGCAACAAGGCGAAGAGGGTCAGAACGACCTTCACCGAGGAGCAGCTCTCTGTTCTGCAGGCGAATTTTCAATTGGACAGTAATCCTGACGGGCAGGACCTCGAGAGAATAGCCCACGTCACGGGACTCAGCAAGAGGGTCACTCAGGTCTGGTTCCAGAATTCTCGGGCCCGACAGAAGAAACATCTTCATACCGGCAAGATGAAGGGGCAGCACGGTACTGTTATTCATTGTTGTGAGAGTCGATTTTTACGCGATTTAATTAATTTAATAATTATTCTTTATCAATTATTGATACACGTAATCCATGTTATCGTTAGCTCATCAGTCACCCCCCAATTCGTCGGCGTCGCCTGGGGATTTCGGTAGACACATCAACCTCCACCTGACCTACTCCTTTCAGCATCAGCAACATCAGCAGAGTCAACAGCAGACACAGCTGAGTCCTGCTACATGCAAAAGTCCTACGCCCTCCATGTATCATAATCACGGTTAGAACTTTATGGCTATGCTTCTTTTTTTGGTTTTTCCTTTTGTTTAAAAGAATATGGATTTTTAAATACGCTAATTTACAGGTTATGTTGTTTCAGGCTCGGAACAGTCTATGGACGAGTTGTCCCAGGACTCTATGATGCTCTCTATGCCGAACGAAGTTTGAGGACCCCGTCCGTTTGGAAACTGTAAATAGCGAAAGGGATTTCGTACGCGCCCTGAGGTCCCGAGACGTTTATGAAACGTCCCGAGGTGATTCCTCTAGGAGGAATCCGACTGGTCCGCTACTCGGACAAGGATCCAAGGACTTGTGAAGATCGACTGGATTCTCAGATGTTTGGCTGGACGAAAAACTTGGACGCACTTTCCAAGGACCTCGTACTACACCTATACATAGTTGCATATAGATATTTATATACATTCCCAGTGCCGTCGGCTTGGGATTAATATTAAAATAAAATATTGAAGGTGCCAACCCATCTGTCATTAAGATGACGCCATCGCTATGAAATATACCTCCTTGTTTCTTCATATTTATATCGTTGAGCGTTCTTTAGAATTTTCAGGTCAACGACCGCACTGATCTTCAGTTCAGTTTAACCCAATGTGAGCCAGCCCTTGCGGCCTGAGCACTTTAGTGCATAAACGTTAAAGAACTATATCTGTTGTACATACGTTTATCCTTTGTCTAATATGTATCATATAGATTTTTTTTGTCATTTAATTATTTATAGGGCTTTTTAAAGCTTGCACCTATCAACGCTTTGACAATGATCTCCAGACAGTCATATTACCAATAGATAATGCATATCGAATGATTAAAAAAAACGAGTCTATCTACATTTTCAATGTTATTCGGTTAAGAAGAAAAGAATGGGATATATACAAATTTTGCTATTTTTTTTTCCTTTTCATATTTATTTATAAGGAGGAAAAAGCGAGACGGTCCTCTGTGAAAAAGAGGAATAAAAGAGTGTCGGGCGTTATTAAAAAAGATATGATTCTGCATGGTTCTCGCTGTAACATTTGTATTGGAAGCTGTAGGTGAATCTTGATGTAAATATTGTATACAGAATTAATAATGAAATATATGACAGGCATACATAATTTTCGTAAATAAATTATTTTCAAACTCCCATGGAAATGCCGATGAGCGATTAACGATCAAATAAATAAACGATATTAACAATCAATGAATTTCTTTATTTTTAACAGTACGGTTTATAACGTTAACACGAGCCACTTATTCTCGTGTATGTAAACGACCTTAACTAACGCCTTGGATCTACTGTCGATATCCAAGATATGCTCTTTTTATACATCACGCATTACGCACGTTACATATTACAAAGGCGGATACTCATGTACCGTTTCCTCACACTTTATACAATTTTCGTGGATCATTCTACCTGGAATACCATCCACTTGGTGCACAGGCGTTACATTGTGTAGTACATGATTATAGTGGACATGGAATAAATAAAGTGGTAGATGCATATCTGCCCTTAGTCTCTAGCTAATATCTATTTACAATGGTACCCTGACCTCCTTGCCTTATGTACATGGATGAGTTAGGCGAAATTGGGATGGAAAAGAAAAAGGATTGAAGGGAAATGTACAAAAGGGAAAAAAAAGAAATTAAAAAAATATAAAGAAGGTTTGAGAGTCTGGTCTTAGCCGGCCTTGGCGCCCGGATGATTACCTGGAACAAGGTTCCATCATTTGACAGGGTAAATGAGCTTGTACAGAGGGATGACGGTTTGGCAGGGTGTACAAGGGTTTAGTTTGGGGGAGGTGGTGAGAGGGGTGGATCTTGATGATCATTGGAAAGTTACCCACTCTGATGACAGAATTGAGCCTGAAGATGAGTCGGTGTTGTGGGGGTGAGTGGCGTCAACGGCGTGAGGGGTGTCAGTGGACTTCCTGGACTTTCGCTTCCTACACTTCCGCCTTGGTAGTTACCTAGGTAAGCTCCGACCACGTTGACTCCAGCTGGGTACAGGTCGCCAGGATGATGTTGCAGAGGTGGTGAATGGTGCACTGAAGAAGCGTAACGGGTAATGAGGAACCAGGAGTGGCGATAAGAACGCAAGGTAGGCTATGCTTGAGAATGTACTGCGATTGCAGTTGAAGACTTCCGGCAGTGTGAATTAATTTTGAAATTCCGTAAAAAAATGAAAAATATCAAGAGGGAACTTACTCTGAGTCTTGATCTTGCCACTGTGCTTTTTCTGTCGCGCCCTGGAATTCTGGAACCAGACCTGGGTCACTCTCTTGCTGAGCCCAGTGACATGGGCTATCCTCTCCAGATCCTGACCGTCCGGATTGCTGTCCAGCTGAAAGTTGGCCTGGAGAACGGAGAGCTGCTCCTCGGTGAAGGTCGTCCTGACCCTCTTGGTCTTGCTGCCCTTGCCGCCGTGCTCGGAATCGCAGTCCTCCGAGGACGAGGTGTTGTTACCCTCGACCACGTCAAGGTAATGAACCTTGCAGAGCAACCTGGCGTCCAGCAGAGCAAACTCCTCCCCGGTGGACAGCTGACGGGAACAGGCGTCGCAGGCGAAACAGGCCAAATGGTAGACCCGGTCTCTGGCTTTGCGGACCCAGTCCCCGGCGCCGACGCTCCTGCCGCACTTGGCGCACTTGGCACCGAAGGTCCTGCGAACGAAGGAACAAACAAGGTTCGACGTCGTTTTACCCAATGTCTGTGGGGATCCGGCATTCGGAAGCGTGTTCCTTTGACGCAGCAGTAATGTCTCTGTTTTCCACTGGTACCGGTGCGCATGCATAGAGAGGGAGCTAAGGCCAGAGCGCAAAGTAAAAAGTGAGGTTAGGTATTGTATGGAAAAATATGGTAAGCCAGGAAGACGAAGGGATCAGTGAATCCTCCGGCGCATCGTCATGGTCCATCGGTATACATTCGGCTATTGGTTATGTTAATCATAAAGGATACGGACACGCCTAGGAGCCTCAAATCTACCAGAACCAGCCAGACGCTACCCAACTTGTTACGGCCCTGGATCGGGGGATGAACGTCGAACCCCGGTAAGCCACTCTAATCTGCCTTGTATCCGTGGAGTATCTATGAAATTCATTTACATAAATAGTGGCGCCACCCTCTATATACGTGGCATCGCGAGCAACAGGGCCTCCCGTATAAATCCTTAGGGCCCCGCACGTCGGCTACCAAATTGCCCCGCCCTAATTTATTCATTTGTTTTTCCCCGGGCTGACCCATAACTCATACCCGAAAGAGGCATATCGGCTGTAAGCTCTGACCACGTAGAAAAGTTCAAATTCGAAAAGTCTCCATGACTTTCCCGTAAGCTTTCGTCATTAACAAAAAAACACTCGAAAAGGACCACCAGGACGAAAATAAAAAAGAAAGTCCTTCGACACCAGCTTCGTTCGCGGGCGAGAGGGGCCTTACGATTTCTAGTTGAAAGCGCACGCCGCACAGAAGAGAATCACAGCTGGCCCAGGGGCCTTACGAGGCGAATTCCTTACTCCTCGGCACTGACACTCGGCAGTTCTGACTCGCGTGACTCGTGACTCGGCATTCACCCACAGAATGAGACAGATAGGCACGCACATGGAATACGCAGGTTGCTTCCACTGTGAGGTCTTCTCGAAGACGTCCGCGGGACGTTCACGTGTACGCACATATATTTAACCCGCTATACGTACTTTTATCAAATTTTCAATTATCCAAATTCTCTCTCAATATAATAATAACAATTCTATACTCTTATCCAAAGCATCCGGAACTGGGACCTAGCATGAAGTTTCTTACCGAACGTCCCAGGTATCACTTCCAAGATGAAAGTTCATGAGGATCGTCCAAGAGTGCGTGACTATCTGGGACTCAGGATACACGTATGCCGACATGAATAGCCGGCAGTATGTGAGGTCCTTGCCGTAAGAGTGCATCGGAAGACATTAATCACCCAACGGCGACGGGTCTTATTTTTTCATTCCTTGTCTATATCTCTTCGTATCTACACCTATGGACTGATGGGTACAACGCGAGGTCAGAAAAAGTCGTCAGGACCTTTGTCCAGGAAGTCATCGGCTGAGCCGGTACCGTCTATGAAGGCTCGAGTCGACCTTGGCGAATCGATATATCGAATGGGAAATACAGCGAGTTCAAGGACAAATTATTGAAATTCATTGAGTCACGCGCCCGTTAATCCAGCGTCTTCTTTTGGCGATGATCCACCACGTGTACCCCCGTGGACCACGGGGTGTCCTGATATCGGTTATGGAAGTGTCACGAGTTACGAGCTAAGTCGAACAAATGATTCGGCGGAGGTGCTCCCATGGTAGCCGGGGAACGTCTTCTTAAGATCATCTTAGTTCCAGTCCAAGTCACCAGGGGTGCCACTGCAGTACACTTTATCGATAATCTATAATCCTTACCCAGGAGGATCGGGGTATCCTTTACACTGTAGGAGTTCAAACGAATGGGACTGGTTATGGTGCATTGATACCAGAGGCTACTAGGAATATATACTAGATACTTTTTTCTTTTCTTTTTATATCTTTTTTCAGCGCTTCTACTCACAGCGCGTAATCGTGTCTACAGTAGAGCCTCATGCCGCGCAGAAAACAGGAATGCTGATCGTGAAGCGGTCTTGCGCATGCGCAACACTTCAAACACCTCGAGTGCCAGGTCCTACCCCCTACGCACAAAACTGTACGTTCCCGCACACTCTCCCCGCAACCCCCGCAGTCCATCTCCGCGCCATCGTTGCTCTCGGTGATGTTGCTCTTTGACTTTGTTATGTTGTTGTTGTTGTTCGAGCAGATCAAGCTGTCTGGGCAATCGGAGTCCGTTTCGATCTCGGTCTGGAAAATCAAGAACAATTGTTTCATAAAAAATTGTTGCGTAACGTCACGATCGAAAAAAATATTTTTACTTAGTGTTCGATAATGAGGATCATTTTTTAATGAGAAAATTTTGTTTTCTCCTCAAATCTATAATTTTGCCTTTTATTATTTTTTATATATTTCATTCGTGACGGTTGTCCGATATATCTATAAAATTAATATTATTTCTGTCAGACTCGGTATTTTTGATTACTTTTTTCTTTTCTTCTAAATATTCAGACTCAATTGCTAATTGTTACGTAGTAACTTCAAATGCATATCAGAATGAAATTTCCATATAAAAAGTATAGATTAGATTCCAAGGAATCGTTGAAAATTAAAACTTCACGTCTCGGCTTTAGACTCGTCGAGTTCCTGAAAGATTTTCAAAAATCTTAATAGCTCACAAGAAACTTACTTGAAACCTAACCAGAACCGTTTCGAAATCTCAATTAATATATTACAAAGTAAAAATAATTAAGGTTAGGTATGATAAATGACTGCGATACGAAGGAATAGCATCGCTTCGCACCTATTATAAATTTCGTCTTGATCCTCGGGTCGGGTTAGGTAAGTCTCGAACAATGGCTCAGCTGAAGGCATTTCTAATGTATATACGTAACAAGGTGTTATCCATGTTCGCGCAATTTACAATTAATCGAGCACGTACCTATTCCCAGATCGTCTGGTTTACTTTCTTTTCATTTCATTTGAGGTCCGATCATTGTTTATGTTGCTTCCCTTTCCCTCCCACCCACTTCTATCTCTCCTCTTTATTACACTGGACGGTATCGTAGTCGAATAGCCGGTCAGATCGCTTTGCCGGCGCCGCGTTGATTCGCGCTCGGGCAACTAATTAATTAAGTCTGTGAGGAAGAGGCTGTATAATCTAGGTATAAAGGAGGGATAAATTAATTATTCGGTTTCGTGAGAAGAATCATTCGATCCCGAAGATCTAAATCCTTATCCGTACTAAAAATTTGTTATCGCGACGCGGCCAACTACAACAAATAGGCTGAGATCAAAATTTTTTTAATTTTCAAATTTTTTTTTCAAAATATATACAGTCACGATTATTACAGCAATAGTCGATATTTATATTTAAAAAAAATGTCCTCTCAAAAAGTCTCTATTGAGACTGACAAAATAAACCATAGCGAGACCTACAACAGCAATGGTAATTTTTTTCAAAATTTGTTCTTTTCGAAATATTAATTATTGCGCTGCTAATAATGTTTAATGCAAGCGAATCCACGTTGTCCTCGTTTCGTTCGCTGATTCGTTTCACGTGCAAAAGACTCGACTGGCACTCAGCAGGTAATCAATGAGTTCAAGATTCTCCGGCCGAGAAACAATCGTTACCCCTTTATGGACCAGTCGATATTATTTTATCGAAAGATTAACAAACGACCTCACGAATTTACCCACGTGGTTAGCGCGAGACACAATAGGCAGGACAGCCAATCGTATTGGAGAAAAAAATAATAGCAAATCACCGGTACAGGACTGGATATCGACAATGGAAATAAGCATAACGAGTCCGACGACAGGTAATTTCAAGAGATAACGACCGTTTCCTTAGATCTTTATTTTCATCTTATTTTCATCTCTTTGCGGCCCCCTATAATAATTTCACGTGTAACAGGACAGCCAATTGATTTATGATCTGCTGAAGGCGTTCAACCTCCCCGCCTGTGATTTATATCTTTGTGCTTTTCAATCTCATCCCGACTTGCCACCTTAAAGGTCCACCCACAACGCGTGTCAGTCTCATACAAGAACAGCTCGATCGTGCCGCGACGGTAAGAAAGTCACTCGCAACACGGAACCTGGTCCCACCCGAAGGCCCAACATAACCTCCTGGACCAGGGAGACTCCTGACCGGCTCTTTATTACGTTTTCCTAAGTTTACGAGCACCCAAGACCAAGACCCAAAATGGTCCATAGAGTGTAATTTACGATATACTGGAATGCGACCTTAGATACGTACACAGTGACGAAAACGTATTTTTTTTCTATTTTTCATTACGAGACGAACATGAATAAATACAAATAAATAAATTTTTAAGTCCATACTGATTTCCCCTAGTACCACGTTATTGAAGCGCATCGCAATTTTTTTTTTTCAAAATTTTCACAAACCTCGATCAAATCAATCAACCCGCAAAACGTAATCATAATTTTGTGGATAATAGAAAAAGTATCTTTCTCCACCCAAAATCCGGAATAACGCAAATTACCATAATTACGATAAACGGGAGAGATTGCACCCGATTATTCGAAACGGGGGAACCCCCGGACGTTATTACCCGCGAGAGAATCCTCGACTGGATTGGTCCGCCGTCAGGAGAGCCTTATCGATATAATTATAGTAATTTAGCCAAACGGTCTTACGTGACTATAGATGTAACGCTATCGGTAGGGTTCATAACGATAATAAACAAAATCTCCCTCTCGGGACCCTTAAGCTTCGTTCATAATTAAAAAAAGAAATTGACCAGACATATCCATAACAATTCTCCGACTCATCCCAATACAAAGCAAGCCTAAAGGAACGCAATCAGCAAGTAACACCGAAGAATAATGAAAGTAATCATTTATTTGGCCCCGACGTCCCGTGCGACGGGGACGAGTCGGACGTGGTGAAAAATCTCGTAACGTCCAGAGGTCAAGCGTGTCCACCTTGAGGACTACCGGGGACCATTGCACGGGTCTACGCTCTTATAGGTGTAATCGTAAACAGTCATCGAGGAGGCGCACGTTGAAAATTACAACCAGCCGCTTTGCTTTTAGTCGCCTTAGTAGCGATACGAGAGATGAGCTTTAAGGATGGCCACGTGATAGATGCTGGCAATCAATCTTTCCTGGGTTGCGAGCCGTTGATGAGTTCCTGTCGTTGTAACTACGCTCGGTACGATTAATAATTAGAAGAAAATTTTCATCGCTGATCATACCGTAGGACCTAAGAAAAATTGTAAGACCAATTATCTACATTTTTGAAAATCCTGGGACATTGTTTCACTTTTTATCAAAACAGCTAACGCAAATACATATTGTCGCCATTGCCTCACATCACGTATCAAAATGTAAACTCGCAATTGTCGACAAAGTCAACCAGTAAGACGTGCCACAGTGGTAAATTTTGACAGAATTCAGGCTGCATTGCTACCAAAAAATTCTTGTCCAAATACTAATAATACTTTTTCCAAACGTCATTTTTTCCCCTTGCGCACACAAATTATTCAAAGTATTTTACATAGAACTGTGGACGTTGGTTGTACATACGATGGGTCTAGTACCAAGTAAAAAGTCAAAGTTTGATGCATTGAATCAAATTTTCATCATTGCGTGTATGTATGTACATATCGGACGTAGCTGTATAGGCATACCTTCATGTTTAAATCCGAGACGATGACAGTAAGCGTCACAAAACAAATAACTCTCCATTCATCGTTCGTTTACGCTGGTTCAATTGGCTGACGAGTGTGTTAAAAGTCGCGCACAGATATTCTTCCTGCACAGATTAAAAGTAAGCAGCGTGTCACGTAACAGATCACGGCGATGTAACAGAATTCAAACAAAATAACAATTATAATATAATGACCTCACGCTTTAAGGTTAGGGTAACACACTTTGTCCAAGATGCGTATCCCGATCCGAATCGTGGTCCGGAGAAGACTGAAGTCCCGATCATGCCCCTACCATTGGTAACGCGTAACGCAGTCCTACGTTACGCATATACCGAGAGAGAAACAGACAAAGGTGTATCGGTGTGTTGCCCCAGGGTTGTCGAACAGGGGAGTGACGGAGCGAAGCGCCTCTCGCGGACTGAAAACGCAGTCTATAAAATAAGCACCGCCCACGGCACGCCCCTTTTACGTCATTACTCGTGTACAACACATATCAAGAGTACGTATACGCTACATACTGTTCATAGTGAAAATAATTGTACCTTCGGAATGAGTACCATGCCACATAGAGTTATTTGAAGGAAAATTTGTAATAGATATAATTGTGCAATCATTAGTGATAGTAATAATAATAATAATAATATGAAATATTAAGTGCGTATAAAAATATATGTCTCTAGTTAAAGATAACGGTGAGTAAACTATAATTTGAGCCACGCAATGATTTTTGGATAAAATAAATTTAGTTCTTGAGAAAGCAAGTTTTTCAAGTTAAACGAACGGGTAAGATATTTCGATAAATAAATCGTAAGACGTATTATTTGATATTGGGATTATTTTACTTCCCTAATGTATTCACGCTCGTTCGGTTCGCCTCGGGTGATTCTTAATACAAATATTTGTAACTTTATAGGTATCCGAGGATAAAATAAATTTAATGGCAAGAACTAGGTAGACTCGTGTCACTGTGTACAGTGTTGTTATAACCCGCAGGGAAATCCTCTGAGATAAGACCACTTTCTGTCACTGGCTGACAATGAGGATCTACTTGGTTTATATACACGTCGGTCAGATGTGAAGATGTAAGATTACATTAGCTCGTCGATGCGTAACATGTTACCATATAAACAGATAAATACGCACAGGTATTTTCACATAAAGATGCGCCATCTTGAGATTAAAAAACATCCGCGATGTATATATATTGTATACATATATATACGTATATATATATATACACAACAGAGTTGACCGTTACCATGACTACAAGGCGTAAAGAATTTTTATGATAAAATAGCGAAGAGACACAAAAATGAAAAACTCCCCCGCCTTCGTCCAAAGTCACAAGGGCATACTCTGGGGGGGGG